AAAAGATGGAAAGATCTCAAATGTCCATGGATGGCCAAAATCAATATTGAGAAAATGACTATACTATTGAAAGGGATCCACAGATTCAATGCAGTCACCATCAAATTTCCAATGACAATATTCACAGAAAAATCAATACAAAAATTCATATAGAATTCTCTATAGCCAAAATACTCCTAAGGAAACACAGCAATGCTGGAGGTATTAATATCTCTGATTTAAGTTATAGTACAGAGCCACAGTAACAATAAAAGCAAGGTATTGGAACAAAAACAGACATGTAGACCAATGGGATAGAATAGAAGACCCAGAAATAAGCCCACAAAGTCACAGCCATATGAGCATATTTTGGTGAAAAGACAGCCTCTTCAACAAATTATGTTAAAAAAAACCAGATATCCACCTGTGGAAGACTGAAGCTAGATCTCTGATGTTTAGTCTGTACAAAAATTCAAAATGGATCAAAGATCTTAATGTAAGATCTGAAACTTTGAAACTACTAAAAGGGAAACAGAGGGGATCACTGGGAAACATAGGTATAAGCAACAAGTCATGAATAGAACTCCAATAGCTCAAGAAATGAGCAAAAACTGGCAAATGGGATTGCACCAAATCAAAATGCTTCTGCACATCAAAAGAAACAATTTACTAGAATGAAGAGACAGCAAATAGAATGGGAGAAAATCTTTGCCAGTTATTAATCGTACAAAGGATTACTAACCAGAATATACAAAGAGCTCAAAAAACTAAACATCAAACTAATAATCAAATTAATAAATGGGCACATGAATTGGATAGCCAATTCTCAAAAGAAGTACAAAATGGTCAATATGTGAAGAAATATACACCTTTAGCCATAAAGCTAAAGTAAATTGAAACAATACCGAAATTGTTCCTCATTACTGCAAGAATGGCTATCATCAAGAAAACAAGCAAAAACATATAATGGCAAGGATGTGGAAAAAGAACACTTACACATTGTGGCGGGAACGTGAACCAGTGCAACCAGTGTGGAAGTTAGTATGGAGGTTCCTCAAAAATTCAAAACAGACCTGTCACATTATCTCGCTATACCACTTCTGGGCGTAGATCAAAGAAATGTTAAGTCAGCATGCACTAGAAAAACCTGTACACCCATGTTAAAGCAGCATTATTCACAAAAACCATGCCACAGACTCAGATTAGGTGCCCACCAACTGATGAATGGATAAAGAAAATATATATGTATATATAATGGAGTATTATTAAGCCACAGAGAAAAATGAAGCAATGTTGCTTGCAAGAAAGTATGTTAGTCTGAGAAAGACAAATACCACATGCTCTCTCTTATATGTGGAATCTAGACAGGAGGAAAAAGTGAATGACATGAGTATAAAATTGAGACTGTTTGTAGGGTACAAACCAGTGGCAGTGGGGAGGGCAAGAGGAGAAGGTGACAGGGGAGATTATGATTGAATGTCTTCACAGGCATATATGAAAACAGAATAAAATGTGCTAAAATGGTTTTTAAAAAAGGGTGGGGATAGGAAAGAGTAATAGAGGGTATGGATTTGATCAAAGTACAATGTATGCATGTATGAAAATATCACAGTGAACCTCTGTAAAACTAATATAAACTAATAAAAAAAAGACATGACAGCATATTCTGTAGTGTAAAAACACTGGTTACTTTTATAAAACAGGTTTTTGACAAAGAGGGAGCAGAAGGGACCTGTGAAGTGCTAGAAATACTGTATTTCTTGACATGTGTGATGGTTTCTCTGATTCATCCCTATGTATAATTTCAAAATTTCAGAGGTGAGCCTTTTAAAATTTGTATATTCACTATAAATGACACCAGTACAAAAATGGGGGGAAACAGTAAAGGGAAGGACTTGTATAGATGCCACTTCTAAGAATGAGAAACCCCTCCAATAGGCTTGGTTTGTTCAGATGAAATAAAATCAACATGTAGGTATTGCTGGAAAGCCAAAAGCACTTTTTTTTTCTTTTTTTGCCCAGGGCCAGCTTGGACGTCAATATTCCTACTTATGTTTTCCATGCAGCTGGGATTATAAACATGAGTCACCATGCCAAACTTTTTGCTTGGGCTGGGTTTGAACCTAGGTCTTCCTGATCTGTTGCTTCTGAGCAGCTGGGATTACAGGCATGTGTCACCACACTCATCCCATATTTTAAAAATTAGTTTCATGATTCCCCCAAGAATCAAAAACTTCATTTTTTTAACAGTTGAATGATGAGGGGATGAAAATATAGCAGTAGTAAGTGAAGAAGCTCATTTCCTGATGCAGCAGTCAGATCAAAGGATGATTTCCCATGATCGCCATCTCATGAAGTTCACACTTTTATGATCCCTCCAATTGAATATTAGCAAAGACCTTGATTTGCTTATAAAGAATAGACTATGGCAAAAGTGATGGAATGTATGTGATAAAATGTATGCAATTTTATAAAAGGTAGCACCTATCCTGCTGGAGTCAATCAAACAGTTGCTTGATTTTTAGAAGTGAGATGTTGTGAGCTGCCTATAACTGCATTTTCTAGAGCACCCAGCTTAAGGTGCCTGGATCCTGATCCTCAGGTGAGAGATAAAAGTGAGTGATATCAGAGCTTCAATGTTTGTGGTAATATTGCTACACAGAAGTAGGTAACTAATACACTTGGAAAGCTAAGAGAAGGTGCATTCTAGACTATGTGGAAGAAATTAGCTAGAGCTGGGGATGAGAACTCTTTAAGAGATGAGAGGAAGCTGCAGGGAAGAGTCAGATCCAGGTGGACAAATAAGGATTAAAGAGCAAGAAAAACAAGAATGTAGGCTTTGTTTTCAGCATGCTGAAACAGTGGCAGGGGAGGTGGCAATATTTAACAAAACATGTGAGTGGACAGAGAAGTGAATACAACATATCGAACTGACCGGAGGTTAAAAAACATATGTACTGAGACACCTGCACACCCGTTTTTATTGCAGCACTATCCATAATGGCCAAGCAGTGGAATCAGCCTAGCTGCCCAACAACCAATGACTGGAAAAAGAAAACATGGCGTGTATACACAATAGAGTATTACTCAGTCATAAAGAAGAATGTAATAGTGCCATCTGCAGGAAAATGGGTGGAGATCATATTGAGTGAAATAAGTAAAGCTCAAAAAGCCAAATACCATGCTTTTGGTCATACACAGAATCTAAGCATAAAATGACAAAAATATCAATAACGGGACACAGTGGAGGGGTTCAATGAGAAGGGGAAGTGCAGAGGATTCAGGAAGGTGAAGAGGATCAAATATGTTATATATTTATATGTATGGAGATAGCATAAAGAAAGCTACCACAAATTGTTTTTAAAAGGGAGGAAAGAGGGAGTTAAGGGAATATAATAGAGGGGGTAAACTTGCTCGAGATACACAGTATGCATCTACGCATAATTTTCATGTGAAACCCCTTTATACTGTTAATGAATCCTAAAAATGGAGCCATACACACATACACAAACATAAATTTTGAAAAGTTAAAACAAAACAAATGCAGAAAAACAAAAAATGGATGTATAGAAACCAGTTAGAAATCTGTTAGCAACATGCAGGCAAAGGGTGATAACAGCTTAACCAGGAGTGATAGTCCTGGAGTTGATGGAATGGGTCAGGTGATGGATGGGATTAGAGATTTGTATGATGCAAAATGGATTGGATGTTGGGTATGATGGAAATGGATCTTTGAGGGGTTTTCCATTGTTTTTGGCCTTCTCCATATATTAAAGGAGATGTTAACAGAAAAGGAGAAGTGGGTAACATTACAAGGTCTGTTTTAGGTATGATGAGTGTGAGTGCTTTTGAGGCATTTAAGGGAAGATGTGGAATTGGGGCAAGGGCTGAAGCCAGCTAACAGCTTTGAAAAACACCAGTGGGCGAGCCCATGGGTATGCAGTGATACTGATCCTCACACTTGATAGCTCTAGCCACCCTCAGCAGACCAAATGTGGCACTCATAAAGGCAAACATGGCATCTTGAGATTTTAATAAGATGGGAGGACAAGAAGACAATAGGACTAGGGACTGCTTCTGAGCCTCTGATTCCCAAATTGAGGGGCAGATGGATAGGTCGATAAATGACTGGAGAAAGAGGAAGCAAGAAAGGTTGGGATGCAGAGTCTAGTTGGAGGTATGAATTTGCAGCAAAAGAAATGACTTAAGTTCTGAATCTGGAAGGAAGTAGCACATGTCACTATTTGTTAGGAGAAACAGTATAAGAATATTACTGTAATAAGTCACTTTTGTCAAGCCACTCTGGGTTAGGCAGTGTGCTAGGCATTTACCCGTAATGTAATTACATTCTCAATTCAATCATACAGAAACTATTATTACAGCATTCTCTGAATGCAGGCTATGTTTAGCAGACTGAGTGGGCTCTTTTCCTTGGGCACAAAGCTACACCACAATTCTGAGCCGGATATGACATGGTGTCTGATACCCTGCTCTTGTCAATGAACTGCATATGGAAGTGATATATGTGCAAGTCAATATGACTACTTCCCTTCTTTCCTATTCCTCTTTGCCAGGAAAATCTGTAATATTCTGACAATAGAATGCAACTGCATTCCTAAACAGACATATAGTACAGAGTTTTCCTTCTGACCCACAATAGGCTATGGCATGAATGAGAAAAAATACTTCAATCTGTTGAGCTACCAAGATTTTTATCTTTTAGAGCAGGTAGCATTAACTCAGCCCAACTTGCACAGCAAAGGCATAGTGAGGTCATGCAACTTTCACAGGCTCCAAAGGCTGATGAATGGTAAATAATTTATGGACAGAGTATTCTACCCATATGCCATCCTCTAACCCAAAAAAAGGTAAAGAGTGAGTCATAGGGGTGGGAAATCAGAGGGGGCACAGTTCATAGTGCTCCATGACACAAAATGAAGTTGTCTGTGGAGGTTCAGACACAGTTATGCTTCACTGGCCTGCAGCTGCTATCACCCCGTGCCGGACTGTCAGTCACTTACCTGCACAGGTGCTTTGAGAGAGTCCTCTTCTCCCTGTCCATAGTCCCTGCTCATAATTCAGGAGGTACATCAGCTCTGGCTTGGGAACAGGATGCCCTGGCATGAGAAATAAATGGAGCATGGATAAACAGGTAAAGATGGAAGGAGTACATACCATTAACACACTGGATGAAGCCACAGAAAAGAGGCCCCACCCGCACCCTGGAACGTTTCTCTAATTCATCAAAGTCAGTAGGATCCCACTTCCTTGTGTTTCAGAACTATCTAGCAACATTTGCTTCCAAAAGCAGAGTAAGTTTTAAAGCTGCCAGTTAACACTGATGCCCAGTGATTACTGAAAACTATCAGATGAAATCCACTGATGAATGGCATGTACTGGTAGTCAGCTGTCTGATGTAGGCAGGTGACCCTAGCTGGCTACCCATTCTGAAGAAAGAGTGGGGCCTCCCACTCTACCTGCTCCTGAATCATCCTCACAAAGGTGCAGTCATGACACAGACAAGGAGTGAAAGTAGATAGATAACTGAGTTGGCACCTGTTAATGTCAGAGCACACCACTTCTGGGCTTCTGCTTAGATAAACAATAAATTTTTTCAGGATAAAACCAGTATGAAGGGATCTTCTGTTATATTCAGTAAAACACACATTGCTAAATGGCTAAAAGACAGAAAACAATTCGGACAGTGGCTGAGGTGGCAGGACCAAGAGAAATGTCAACTGGAAAAATCTCAGAGAGCAGGCCAGAGGGCATCCTGCTCTCACCTAGTGATGCTTCACTGATATCTGCCACAGGCCTGGCTCAGTGATGGAGCAGTGGGAAAGGTGAATTAGACTGTTCTTCATTAAGGTCTCTGTCCCCTCAAGGGTCTCTTCTTATATTGGGCTCCCCAGGAGTACTGTTACTCAAAATGTCTCTTTTCAATGATTCACAACTGTCATAAAATAATACTATACTTACTTCCCTGATGATCTTCTAGAGAAGACTCAGGACTGAAGCCTAGAAGAGCCATGTTAGAGGTGACCATTTGGACATGTGGGAAAAGGGAGATCTTGGGCCTCCATTCAGTTCCTGCTCAGGCCAGTTTCTGAGTAAAGTGGCCATTAAAGTTATAGGTGGGAGAACACTTGGGACTTATTTATTTGTTACATATAAAAAATACACGTGTATGTTCCCAGTTCTAGTCTAAGCACAACTGCATTTAGGTATTAGTAAAATGTGATAATAAAAATAATAAAATAAAAAAAAATGGTATGAAGTCCCAGCAAGTTTGTGCTGCCTGCTCAAGTTTCTCCAGGTGCTAAATCATAATACCCTAAATAAGATATGATTTTGGACTAGAGGTATGGCTCAAGCAGTAGAGAGTCTACTTTGCAAGTGTGAAGCCTGGAGTTCAAACCCAATCTCGCCATTAAAAAAATTAAAAAATCACTTGGTATCAAGGCTGAGAGTTTGAGGCAAATTCTTGCTGCAGAGAGGGAAATGAGCTGCTATAGCAGTGTAAAAGACAGCACTGAGACAAGAATTAACAAGTATGAGGTAGGACACAGAAAGGAAGCAAGAACAGCTTTCTCAGGTGCCCACCAAGACCATTTGATAATGTGCATATGCATCCTCTTGGATCAGAAGAGAAGCAAGGCACAGACCTTAGGAAACAAGGGTTAACTGTATAGGTACCTGTGGCCAAAGAAGCTTTAGCAAAGGCTTAGAAAGAAATCAGGAGCAGGAAGGACACATACCTTCTTATTGCCTGAATGAATCATTCTTTTCTTGGATAGCCTCCTTTTACAGGCAGGTCCTGTTAATTGGACTTTGAAGACATTTGACTTGACAATGCTAGGCCAATCACTGTTCCTCTTATGGGAATCTTAGAAAAAAGATTTCAGATGGGGCCAATAGGTGCTAGGCACTGGATGCAGATTTTGAGAAGGACTAGGTTTCTTACATAGCACTTCCTGATGAATATGCAATGATACTGTCAGTGGAGGTCAGGAAGGTAACATAAACTGCTAGAGAGAATGGAATGAAATAGGCTTTGGGATCCTACTTGAAAGTGAAATGAGAACTTACCCACTGAGACCAGGAGCCCGCAGGTCTCCAGCATCACCTCCCAATAAAGGATCCTCTGGGCCAGGTCCAAATGACTCCACTCCTCCCCAGTGAAGGTCACGGCCACATCTTCAAATGATACCAATGCCTGGAAAGTCAGAGGTGGTACATCTGTTTTATTAACTATGAGGCCAATAGATGAGATTCGAACTTACTGCTCTTTTTTACTGGCAAGGGTCTAGAGACCGAAGACTTGAACCAGTGAGCACCTCCTGAGAAATAGCATGCTGTGTGGTGTAGAATGAAGGAAGATGGTACCTTTGACAAAATGTAAATGTGTGGGAGAGAAATGTCTCCTATGTGGGGAGCCACTGGAGAATGACAAACACATGATGTTAATCCCTTATGGATTTATCCCAGTAAGTGCTCTGGGATATCAAAGAGTCACAGTAGTGGTGGTGACAACAATTGAAACAATGATTATAGCATCTGCTGCCTGCCCTTGAGGTCTTTGGATGCTGTGTGAAAGCATCAGGTCTCCTGGTGTATAATTCCAGTCTCTGGAACACATGTATGGTCTGGGGAAGTCTCTTAATTTCTCTGAGCCTCAATTTTCATATCAATACAACTATAGTTCTTAATTCACTAGAGTATTGTGGGAATTAAAGGGACTGGGGATGTGGCTCAGTGACAGCACACTTACCTAGCATATGCAATGCCCTGAGTGTGATCCTCAACACTGATCAAAAAAAAAAAAAGAGAAAATGTTCATAAAGCAAACTGGGCAGTGCCTGCCACATGTCATAGGGATAGATCTGTATGTGTAAAATGTTTCTGATCATTCCAGGTTGGTGAGGCAAATGCCATCATCTCCATTTCACACTCAGCCCACTGAAGTTCTCAGTCAAGTCACTCAGATCCATATGACTAATGAGAGGAGGCAGGATTTGAACCCAGATCACTCTGGTCCAGGGACTATGGGTAGAATGCTTTCCTTCGTGTCACAGATGCACAGCCATAGTGACAAGGGCAAGAAACATTTGCATTAATTTTTACATTTTAAAGCATTTCAGCCACTCCTGAAAAATTTCCATAGATACAGAAGTCTAGCGCCCTCAACATTTGCCCCAGGAGGGCACCTAAGGAGGCATCAGCTGCCTGAGGCTTGGCAGGGCTCTCAAGCTGTAGGAAGGACTTGCACCTGACTGGAAGATTCCACAAGTAACCAGCAGCCTATTCCTTTTCCTTTTTGGATACCTCTCTAAGGTATTGTATTGGTACTTATGTTACCAGGTGACAAAAATGACCAAGGACAATACCAGCTATGGCTCTTAAGATCATGTGCAGCAGCCTTTAGGATGATGTCTGTCATGGGTGACGGTGTGATGAAGATCTGTCAACCACACAACCTCTGCTTCCTAGACAGAGGATGATAAGAGCCCTTGGCAACCCCCCAGGTCCTTTCATGCCTCCTCTGACAAAACCTGCCTTTGTCTATACATCTCCCTTTGTCAAGAAGATTCCCCAAATCTCTTTCATTCCCATGCCTACCTACCAAAGGCCTGTACCTCCCCTTGTGAAGTTTATTTTAGTTATCATGCCTAGGGTTACAAAACCTACTGTGAGTAGAATTATTAGTTAAAACTTTTCCTATACGCTCTTGTAGCGTCCTTGGTAAACTCAATGCACCACACACATCTAGGAGGCAGCCAAGCAAGGATCAGGGGACAATGTGAAAAAAAACTGGGCATCAAGCTTGGTATGTTCAGGACATCGTGCCCTCAGGGCAGGGCAATGAGATGAGTGGAATGTGGCTTGGTGGGTGGAATAGAGACTTTGCAGTCATGGTGGAAAGTTGAGATTAAATTTAAGGACGATGGGAGCTCCTGAGGGTGGACTCTTTCACTCACTTATTTAATATGTGGTACCAGCCCTGCCTTGTTCTAGGATCTCATTATTACAGGGTGTGGATGTATCCTCAACAATATATGAACAAGGGGGTGGTGGTGATATAGGTCAGTCATAGACCTCTCTAAAGGGACCCTGGTACAAGGCTGGAATAAAGTTAGAGAGCAGGCCAGGTGAAGCAAAATGAACAAATAAAACAAGCCCTGAAGGTGGTCAGGACTACGATGAGAATAAACAAGGTGGAATGTTGGAGAATAACTTGAGGCCTGTGTGTGTGTGTGTGTGTGTGTGTGTATTCCAGGAGAGGAAACACTCCTGTATACTTGTCATTAAAGACTATCTTAATGGGGTTGCTTTGCAAATACAAATAAATGTGTTACAGATTCATGGTCAAGTGTCAAGCATGATTCACTTGTAATAAACACGTGGCATCTGACATATCCAGTGATCTTTCAGTCTTCTAGTCTGTATGTGTGTGTGGGGATGGGGGTGTTGAGGAGGGGCGGTCTACTCCTATCAAAGAAGCAGTAATGCCAAAAATGCCGTTCCCAACTCACCTCTGCCTTGGAGATTCTCCTTCTCTCCCTCAGCTTTCAGCTACAGAGAAGCCTGAGACAGGAAGGCCTGAGGGACTGTTCCCATTGGAGTGAGCTCCTAAGGTTAGCAGCAGGAGCTGGGGAATCTCTCCCCCAAAATGACGTGCAGAGTGATGCTCTGTGGGTCCTGCCGAGCACCGACACATATCACAAGCGTACCCTCTCCAGTTCCCTTAATATATAACTATTAACACTGTTATTTCAGATACAAGGGAACGGAGGCCAAGGGCAGTAAGGCTACAAGCTCAAGGTCAGAGCCAGTAATGGGGACCCCTAACTTGGACTGAAAAATACCGGTTGGAAGTGATTACGTGTGACCCTTCCGCCTACTGCCCAAATTCCAGATCTACGGGAATCAAAAGGCTAGAATTTCAAGGTATTGTGCATTACAGCGGATGGGACCGAGCGGGCGGCAACCCAAGCATGAGGGAACCCGAGAAACCCCGCACTCACCAGCGTCGGCGCCGCCATGACACCCGGTGGACGCAGCCAAGCCGTGAGTGACGGCGACAAACGCCGGTCCGGCGGCCTCGGCTGAAACCTCCCTCCAGCTCCGGGCGGCTAAGGTCCTCGGCTTCCGCCGCGCACAATGTGCACAAGGTTCAAGGCGCTACTGCCTTCGGGTGCTGTGTGGGCACAGGGCTGCTCGGCGGCAACCCTACCGAGGCGGCGGAGGGGGATGTCACGGCTTGAACGCACAAAAGGTGGAATTGGCCTTAAGCTCCTTACTGTCCTGCTTCTAGTTCGTGCGGAGAGCGGCCGCTGCCCAGCGTTCCAGTCAGGGTAACGCTGGCAACAACAGGTGAGTCACGACCAAATGACGTCACCACAAGGACGCCGGAAGTCCCACCCATGAAGCTTCGGAAACGCTCCTCCCTTCTCCATCATTGGTTCAGCCTCTATTTCCGGCCGAAACACTGCCTTCTGGGAAATGTAGGTTTGCACTTGAATCCGCGTGGAACTTGGAGCGCACTTCCAGTTCTCTGTCAAAGAGCCTCTTGAGGTTCCAAAGAGAGGACGTGGCGTCGTTTCCAAGAGACGCAAGAAGCTTTCTGAAGACTCTTGAAACGATGACCCATGCTCAAGGGTCTGTCATTCCTTGACTTTCCTCCCTGAATACTACTGTTAGACACTTCATCTCTCTGATCCGTGAAATCGAGATTTCTAAGAAGAATGAAAACTTTTTTTTTTCCCGGTACTGGGGCTTGAACTCAGAGCCTACTCCTTGAGCCTCTCAACCAGCCCTTTTTTGTGATGGGTTTTTTTGAGCAAGCTCTCGAGAACAATTTCCCCCAGCTGCCTTCAAACCATACCATGATCCTCCTGATCTCTGCCTCCCAAATAGGTAAGATTACCGCCTAAGCCACCGGCGCCTGGCTGAAAAAAATTTTTTTAATTTAACAAAGTTAAATGTTCCTACACTTGGTAGTTTTCAGACCATATCAGGGTTTCCTGGGAATTTGTTGGAAGTACAGGTTCTCAGGCTCCACCTCAGACCCGCGAAATCAGTTTCTCTGCGTAAGTCCTACAGAGAATTTTGATGTTCAACACATTTGAGAACTGGACTAAATTCTAGAGAATATGCAAAACAGTACTACCTACTTCGTGGGCGGCAACTAAGACATGCTCAGCCCAGGGCATAGAAAATAATGATAAGCAGCTGACATATTGATTTATAGAAATTCAAATCAAACTAAGAGCAACTTTTTAGTAAATGTTGCAAGACTCTTACAAGATTTGTATGAAAAGATAATGAGACTAAAATAGTTAAAATAGTTTTGAAAAAATAGAATGAAGAGAGGAGAATCACTTTTAAATAATTTCGACATTTACGAGAAAGCTACAGAAATCAAGACTGCAAGGTCCTGCCAGAGAAATTGACACATTCATCAGTGGAACAGAACAGAGAACCCAGAAATAGCCTCTCACAAGTACAGCCAACTAATATTTGACAAGAGTTCTCAAAAGCAATTCAATGGAGGATAGACAGTCCTTTTAATAAATGGTACTGGAGAAATGGGATATTACAAAATAAAATGTAAAATGAAAAACTATAAATTTGGAGATGTGGGAAAATATCTTTTGGATGCAGGGTTTAATGAGGAGTACTTAGAGATGGTACTAAAGATATAATACATAATAGAAAATAACTGATAAACTGGTCTTTAGCAATAATTTTGCTCTAAAAAGACCTTGTTTAGAGGATGAAAAGAGGAGTTACACCTCAGAGGAAATATTTTGAGATCACAAATCTGACAAAAGCCTTGTAATTTACATATATCAGTAACACTCAACATTAACATTCAACATTTAAGAACCAGGGATGTCCCCTGTTAGAATAGCCATCATTAGCAACACCAATAACAACAGGTGTTGGCGAGGATGCAGGGAAAAAGGAACTCTCTTACACTGCTGGTGGGAATGTAAACTAGTACAACCACTCTGGAAAAAAATTTGGAGGCTCCTTAAAAATCTAAACATAGATCTACCATATGACCCAGCAATACCACTCTTGGGGATATACCCAAAAGAATGCGATTCAGGTTACTTTGGAGGCACCTGCACACCCATGTTATAAATGTGGTATTTATACACAATGGAATTTTATGCAGGCATGAAGAAGAATGAAATGTTATCATTCACATGTAAATGGATGGAACTGGAGAACATTACTCTGAGTGAGGTTAGCCTGGCCCAAAAGACCAAAAATCATATGTTCTCCCTCATATGCGGACCTTAGGTCAAGGGCAACATAACAAGGGGATTGGACTTTGATCACATGATAAAGCAAGAGCATATAAGAGAGGGGTGAGGATAGGTAAGACACCCAAAAAACTAGATAGCATTTGTTGCCCTCAACACAAGAAACTAACGCAGATACTGTAAAGCGACAGAGGCCAAGAGGAGAAGGGGACCAGGAACTAGAGAAAAGGTTAGTTTGAGAAGAATTAATTTAGAAGGTAACACATATGTACAGGAAAGCAATGCCAGTCAACTCCCTGTATAGCTATCCTTATCTCAAATAGCAAAAACCCTTGGTCCTTCCTATTATTGCTTATACTCTCTCTTCAACAAAATTAGAGATAAGGGCAGAATAGTTTCTACCTGGAAGCGAGGGGGTAGGGGGGAGAGGGAGGGGTTGGAGTGGTTAAGGGAGGGGATGGGGGGAGGGGGGAGAAAAGACCCAAACATTGTATGTACATATGAATAATAATTTAAAAAAAGAACCAGGGATGTGGGCATGACTCAAGTTGTCGAGGGCCTGCCTATTAACCACAAAGCCCCAAGTTCAAACCCCAGTACCAGAAAAATTTAAAGACCAAATAAAATCCAACTAGAAAACAAACAAAAAGCAAGCCAGGCATGGTGGTACACACCTGTAATTCCAGCACTGTGGATACTGAGACAGGGGGATTTTGAGTGCCAGAGAGATCTGGGCTATATAGTGAGACCTTGTCTCAGAAAATCCAAAAAACTAGCACTGGTGGCTCACATTTGTAATCATGACTAATTAAGACACTTATATCAGAGGAATCATAGTTCAAGGCCAGCCCAGGCAAACAGAGAGATAGCATTTCAACAGAAAAATCTGGGTGTGAGGTTTCATTCCTATAATCCCAGCTACTTCAGCTAAATAGAAGGACTGTGGTCTGAGCTGGTCTGGGCCAAAAACAAGACCCTACCTCAAGAACAGCCAGAGCAAAAAGGGCTGGCGGTGTGCCTCAAGCGGTAGAGCACCTGACTAGCAAGTGTGAAGCCCTGAGCGCAAACCCCAGTACTTCCAAACAAAGACACCTCCAAACCCAAAGCAAAAAGAATAGGCAAGAATCAAGAGATGTTTGTGGCAAATCAGCTCACAACAAAGTTTTTGAACATCACCAGCTATTACTACTAGGCAAATACAAACTAAGGCAACAATAAAGTAACATTACACAGTAAGCAAATAAGTATGTAACTTACTAAGCTAATTAAATTAAAAGTAATAGTAGGAAACACTGGTGAGTCTGAGGAGAAACTGGTTGTTTTTTCCCACTGTTGGTAGGGATGTAGAATGGTACAGCCTCTCTTGAAATAATTAAGCAGTTCCTAAAGCAAAGGACTACAGACATGTTTCCATACAACTCAGCAACTGCACTCCTAAGCCTGGATTCCAGAAAAAATAAAATGGCTGCACAGAGCAATTTACACACATCCATTAACAGCAGTTTTAGTCATCATAACTTCAACATGAAAATGACCAAAATATTTCTCAATGGGTGCATGTCTGGATAAAGTATGGTAATCCACACTATGGGATAGTACTAGGTAATAAAGAAGAACAAACTATTGACACAACTTGAATGGACCACAAGGGTATATAATGCTGAGTGAAAAAGAAGCGAATCTCAAAAGGGCGCTTTCTGGTGTGTGGGTAGCTCAGTGTTAGAGTGCTTGCCCAGCATGCTTGAGGCCCCAAGTTCAATCCATAGCATGGCAAAAACATCACTTTTCTGTATGATTCTTTTTAAAAGAACATTATCAAAATGAGGAAACTGAGGAGATAAAAGATTACTGTTTGCCAAGGTGAAGGATATGTTACATGCCCAGGTTTGTGTGTGTGTGTGTGCACACCCGTGTGTGTGCATGCATGGATGTGAGAAATACCATGGAGATTTTTGTGATGGTGAAATCTCTATCCACAGATGGCTCTGTATCTTGAATGCAGCCAGTGGTTGGTATATGGTTTCATACATGTATTTAAACTATGTAGTATCACACATGACACATATTAAATCAAGGTTAGCTCATGGTTTTGATATTCTACCACAATTATGTGAGAGGTAACTATTGTGGAGAACCCAAATGAAAGATAAACAAGACCTCTCTATATCTTTACAATTGCTTGTGAGTTTGTTGTTATTTCAAAAACACACTGTTATATGCTGGTGTGAAATGCTGTGGGCTGGTGTCCAGAGTTCTTGCCTTCACAGGCCAGAGAGAACTGGCTCGTGAGGCAGCTGATTGACTTGTGAGGCAAGGACGATACACAAAGTAGGATTTATTAGAGAGAAAGGAAAGGCTACAGCTAGAGCAGCGCAGTGGAGCCTGGAAACCAGTGGCTCCCTGCTCAAGTGAAGGCTGGGGCTTTTTAATGGATGCTTTAACTCTGGGTTAGGGTATTGATTAGGTGGCCATGGATTTGCGTGCACTGGCTCTCTTAGATGAGTTGGTCTGTTTGCCCCTTATTGGGGGAACAACCTTGTTTATCAGCCCTGTGGCAGATTTATGAGACCCTGCGACTCCTCCTCAGGGTGCAGGGATGCAGATTTATAACACCTTCTCAGGGTGCAGGGCTCATAGTGCTGTCCACGGGGGATGGGATACTCACTCATCTGCCCTTTAGATCCCCAGACCTAACAACACCACATCCCTAAAACACTTCTATGGATTCCCTGAGCAGTTAAAATAAAACCCAAGATTTTAGTTGCCATCTATAAAGAGTTGTGCCTCAGCCCTTGTGTTGTGTATGAGGAAAAAAAGATGATAATCTCTGTTGGTCAAGAAAAACCCTTTGTGAAAATATAAACATCCTAGCAGGGAGCTGGTGGTTCATGTCTGTAATCCCAGATACTTGGGAGGCTGAGATTAGGATTGTGGTTAGAAGCCAGCCTGGGAAAATAGTTCACAAGACCCCTTCTCCAAAAATAACCAGTACAAAATGGACTAGAGGTGTGGCTGAAGCAGTAGAATGCCTACTTTGCAA